ATATCACTGGCCAAAGCCATAATTGGCCGTGATCACGGGGCGGTGGAGGCGGCTCCAGCCCACTGCTCAGGCAGCTGTGAGGCCCCGGCTCCGCCAGGCCGAGGGCTGCGTTCCCCCCTGCGGGAACCACATAGGAGGGGACCGGGGAAGCGCTGGGGCCAGCGCTGCGCCGTGGGCCATTGGTAAGGGACGAGCTCTGTGTGTGTGTGTGGGTTAGAGAGGGGCACCCAGGGCAGCCACAGATGGCAGAGCTGCAGCGGGCACTGGCTTTGGGATTCCCGAGCTGCCGGCTCGGCTAGCTGCGGGGGACGCCAGCAGCCTCCCTGGACTGGTGTGGGGTTTGGCCCCCAGTTTTGGATTTCCTAACCACTGGATTAGTGTTTGCAGCCGCCTGGAGCCTGAAACCCTCAGATTAGGCAAAGGTGTGCGCAGTGGGCATCCTCAGGTGGCTGGGGGGGACACAGGGCTGGCGCTGCCCGCCAGCCGCGACAGCACCTTACAGGCTGTTCTGTGCTCAAATTAAAAAAAACCCAACAAAACCAAAGCTCAGAAAAGAACATATTTAAACACGAACCCAAAGAAATCCAAAATTTCCGAGTACGGGGGTGAATGCCAGCTCTGCCTGCACTTGCTCCCCCCTGGACCCGCATCAGCATCACCACGGGGGAGGCAGTTTTCGTCCCCCACCGCTCCCCTGGCAAAGGCCACGGCGTGGCAGCGCTCCCGCCGGAACCCCCCCAGCAGCGCCGCAGCACCCAGCAAACCTCTGCTCCTTCTGAGAGAGGAAGGGGGAGCTGTACGATGAATATAGTCTTTTTATTGACTACTTTTGCGTAGAACAAACTAAACACATCTGTAACAGTTTGGGTTCCTTTATACAGTACATTAAATAAGTTATGCACAGGAATGAAGTAACAAATTTCTATTACAGAATTAAATGTCAAAAAAAATAGAAACCTCAACCCACTGTCTTCCCATGTCCGAATTTCACATTTATCATTCCATGTTAAAAATAAAAAATAAAAAAAAAAGGAGCAATCGTTCTAATCACGACTGTTAGTATTTCATTCATTTACTTTTGTAAAGTGTACAAGAAAAAAAAATTCATTTAATTTTAGTACATGGCCATCAAAGTTGCATGAGAATTATGGAAGACAATCTATTTACAAGCAATTTCTTCCAGCCCTGCCCTGCTCTCCTCTCCGCGCCCGACCTCGCAGCAGTCGGCCACCTGCCGCTGACCGCTGACCGGTAGGGTCAGGACTGCAGTGGGGATTGGGACGTCGCGACCGGGCTTCATTTACCTGAGGCAGCTCCCACTTTGCACGTGCCCTGCTAAGGCAGGAAAGCCCTGCAGCCCCCCCCCGGCTCCCGGGAGAGGAGTGGGGGTGCGAGGGCAGCCCCCCGCCCAGGTGCTCTCGCCAGCCCAAAGCGTTTGCTGCTCCTCCCCGCTCCACACGGCATCCTCCTCCGTGCTGCAGACCTGGGCACAGCGAAAGTTTTTAAGCTCTGCCGGGGCTGCACGGACAGAGCCGCTTCCCAGGGCCTTTGCGACAGGCGCAGCACGCAGGGCAGCACGGGGCTGCTGCAGTTTGGGGCTGACCCCGCTGCCTCCGTCTCTCCTGGGGTAAAAACCTCCGGGCTAGGTGACGCCTTCCCCGGGCCGCTGTGGCCTCGCCACCGCTGCAGGTCAGGGTGGCTCGAGTGCCGCCCCGATTCAGGGCTGCACCAGCCCAGCGGCACAGCACCGTCGTGCTCGGCTCCCAGGAGCCGTGTCCGTGCAAAAGGCTCTGCCGCAGCCCGGAGCCCCGG